GTGTGTGTGTGTGTGTGTGTGTGTGTGTGTGTGTGTGTGATTTTACACCTACTGGAACTCCAGGAGGTCCTCTTGTACCATGGTTTCCTGGAGATCCTGCTTCACCCTAGAAAATTAAGACATAATCATTTTAGAAGATTTAATTTAATAAGTATTATTACAAACATAAAATGAACTAAGTGACTAAAGGTTCCTTAGACCAGCACTCCTCTGATTATTATTTAAAAAGTATTTTTTTCTAACACATTAAAAGAAAAAACAAATATGCATGCATATGATCCAAACAGCATGCAGTACCTTTGCTCCATTTGAACCTTCACTTCCAGGAACTCCGGGTATTCCCTAAAGGGTATAGATTCAAAATTAAATTTGTTTGCTGCAAAATTAGTTTGGGTAAAAAAAAAAAAAAAAGCAATCTTTTGTATTTATGCAAACCTATGTGATTGTCAATGAGTGTGGTAGTGCCATAGTATTAATGTTATTTTTGCCTCTCCCAGAAAAGAAGCTCCTGTAGAAAGTGCAAGTGTCTGATTTTCAGTGTCACCTTCTAAAGTCAAGCACACAGTCAAAAGTATTTGGCTAGGGTGGCAAGAGGAGTTAGAGGGAGCTGACATCACCTCCCCAGGTCCAGTCAGAAAACGCCTAGTATTCATTGAGAAAAATACCATAGCAGGATTATTCACTAAAGGGTGAAGAGTTTGGAGAAGGCAGGAAAAGTGAACAATCTAGGACAACATAGCTGAACTGGAAAGTGAGCTGAATTGGAGAATGTTTCCAAATTAGCTATTTTGGCCTAGATTTTTCACTTCTCCTATCTTCACCAAACTCTTCACCCTTTTGTGAATAACCCTGTAGGTGTTAGTTGTGCCAAACTAGTGACCCATTGTGGTTTAACAGTGGAGGGGAAGTCGCTGAGCACACCAGCCGTTGCTGGACCAGGAAGATTGCATTTAGACACTACTAACTGTGATTACTGCAGTGTTTTATAGGATCTGCGTGGTCCCTCCAGGGATAATTTATATATACTTACAATGTGCAAAGCTGGACCAGTGTTGGTATATATAAATACAAACACCAATGTGCGACAGGTTACTGTTTACAGGGAAGGTACACACTAAAAAGACATTAATAAAAACTTTATCTGCTTTTTGCACTTAAAAAAAAAGGTGTAACTCTTTAATAATGCACACACTTTTTATGCTGACACTAACTGTGCATATTTTAAGGATATTGTATCTGTAGGATATTATTCTCGTTGCCTCCAGCTGGAGCCATACATTCTCATGGCATTACAGAAATGTCCTCAAAATATTTTCCCTTCAATATAGGAATATCTGCACTATAGTAAAACTGAATTGAAATCCATGACTTACAGACATAAAACGTGTGTGCAAACGTATGGGACTCACAGGCAACATTTTATTTTACCACTTGGGGAAACGAAAATACCAATTACTTATTACAGTTAACTAATCTAATCTCTACACAAATGTCATGACCAGTTGTTCCCAAATTGGGGTGCCCGCAACCCCAGGGGGTGCAAGATGGAATTCCAGGTGGTGTGACAAAGAGTAGCTTGTGTCCTTTATTGACAAGTCATAAGTCATCATCAGCTGCCAGTGTGCCTTGAGCAGTAGTAAAAGATAGTAGTCTTGTTGTTTAGTTAATCAAAATGAGAGAATAACAGAATAAAAATATAAGTAAAGTATGTGAGTGTCCAGTATTGCTTTAAAAATCTTTATATTGCAAAATCCAACATATTGGGGTCTATTCACAAAGCTGACGAAGGATCTGGCCGTAGCTTCGGCCGATCCTTCGGCTGGCTTCGGCCCCAGGACCCCTTCGGTTCAGGAGAACCGAGGGGGTGCTGGACGGGCTATTCACTATATTAGTGAATAGCCGAACAGTGTTCGGCTCACTTCACTTCTGATCGGTCATTCACTCGGCTGCCCTCGGCAGCTTTGTGAATAGACCCCCATAAATAGACCCTCATAAATTGACAATCACTAGAGCTCATTAAAGGGGGCACCCAGATTCCTATAATTCCCCCCTGCCCGTAGACACGAACAACCACTGAGCCAGGGTTGTGAGGAAGAGGCCTTTGTCCTCATCGACATGGGGACAAGGTGCTTTGCCAGGGGGTCCCCCTGGCAATGTACCATCTACATGTTGAGGGCATGTGGCCTGGTATGGTGCAGAAGGCGGGTCACATGATTGTCCCCCTTTCCTGCTCCGACAGGCTGCTGCTCGGATCAAGGGTCTGGTAAGGGATTTTAGGGGGGACACATATGTTTAGTTTTTTTGTGGGGGGGTTGTGGTTCCCCCCAAATTCCCTACCAGATCTATTGGGTCTGGTATGAATTGGGGAGGGCCACATGCAGTTTTTTTTATTGTTTCTGTGGACTATCAAAAGGTAAAAAGAAAAAAGTAAAAAAATACTCACTTTTCTCAACAAATTTTCGTTTTTAAATATCGCCTAACTCATCTGCAATTAACGAGTCGGATGCATCCGAACACCAAAACTAATTGACTTTCAGACCCAAGTCTCAAAAAACGAAATAATAAAAAATCCAAAACGAACCGAAACAATTTTTTGCTGGCTTACATGTGTACCAAAAACATAGGAAGTCCAAAGTGTCATTACAAATCGACTTCACATCTTATTTATTTGGCACACATTTTATTTTATGTATATGGTGCAGTTAGATAACATCTTGTGTATCTACAGAATTTATTTTGCTAAGTTTTCAGGATTTATTAAGATTGTAAGATCTTTATAAGATTGTTGTAAAACTTGAGCTTTTATACTGAAGCTCTTTTTAAAACCTCTACAGAACTTACATGGTGTACAATTATTTGACAGCAGCTAACAATAACAACTACTTTACCACTCTGCGTATTTGTATACAGTATTTATTTGTATCCTCTGTTATGTGCACAAGAAAAATTACTATTCTTTCTCAAATGAATCTATAAATGAAGGTAACAATTACAAAAGCAACAGATCATCTTTAAAGTTGTACAAGATACACAAAAAAGGCTTAAGCAATTTTAAAATAAATATTTACCGGCAATCCTCTATGACCTTCCATTCCTGGTGGACCCAGCTTTCCTACTTCTCCCTTGATAGATACAAAGTACAGTATATTAGGTCACTATTATAGAGTATGCATAATGTAGAGGACTAAAAGAAACCTCATCCACAACCAAAAAGAATCTCTAGCAATCAATTTGGAACTTCTGCAAATTAGAATTGCATTATTGATGTTTGTACATGGTCGCATTTGTATGAAGCAAGAGAATTGTTTAAACAATAGTAATATAGCCATCAGCAAACTGCCTCCATGGAGATTTCAGCCTCTTTGCAGCCACATGACTGATGGATTCGTCAATTTTCTGTCCCTCCGTTAAAAACCCCAATAAACACACGGACTGCGCGACATGGATTTTAACGGCCACAGCAGCCCTTTTATTAAACAAACAACTTTAACAATAACCAAAGTAATAAACCAAATATACAAAAATAATACTTTAACAAGGGTTGACCTGAGAAGGGGTCTTTGGGTGCCCGCCAGCCCAAAAAAGGCCTCTCATAACACTCCACCCATGTCCCCAGCCGCACCACAACCAGCTCGAGGACACTTACTCCTTCTGGGTTCCCAAGGGGAAAGGCCCCCGCCCTTTACAAATCCGGACACCAACAGGGGGAAGCACCCATACCAGCTGAGGGCCCCCCACATTTTTTTAATGAACTCCGATTTTGTAGACCCCCCAAAGACCTCCTAACCCGCCAAGCTGCCGTGACAAAAAACAAAAACCCCAAAACCACCAAATTCAGGGAGGGAGGGGGGGACAACCTGCTTCCTTCGTCGATTTCCAGAAAGAGGACGTCCCTCAGCCCTCGCAGTCCCTTCCCATGCGGCTCCTCCCGGACACCTGACTCCCACGTCCAATCAGGTAAGAGCAGCTATTCCCATTTTATTTTTGAACCCTTTCTCCCGGGACTATTCCTCCCCCCAGTCATGTAGCCCCTCCGCTTAGTCTCTCCGTGTCTGTCTTTCTTCATACTGTACATGCATGCACTCCAGCTATTGCTGGATGGCATTTCTAAGGGTGGGTTTCCAAATGGTGAAAACAGTACACCGTGAGTTTATTACGTGTGTTAAATTGGTCACATGTACTCTCAGTCGTAAGCCTGTGTGACAAGGAGACAGCTCTATAGCACAATTGAGACAGGGACAAATAGCTGTCACCCTATAGAAAGTGCCTAAACATGGCAGGATCCAAAGGTATTATTTTAATAAAAGATGTAGATTTGAGTTACGTGTATTTTATTCCATTTAGGTTTATAGTAGAAAACTTTAACTGTAGACAGGTCCCTAGGCAATACTGAAACATTAATATTATTTACAATGCTCATCATTTCTCTGCCCTGCCTAGCAATATCAAAGAGAAGACAAATGTAAACCTTTATAACAACTGATCCAAGATAAAAAAAACAGGGGGGGGGGGAGAAGAATAACGATATGTGGCAAGAAAAGCAAATGCTTAAAAAGATCATACTTGTTCCCATAAGTCTAATTTTATGCTTTTCCCAAGCATTTATTGTCCATTCAGTACATAAAGATATAAAACAAGAAACATATGTCTTTAGTGCCTGCATTCAGAACATTTGGCAAACATACTTAGATGAACTATACAAATGAAAAATTAGTAGGAGACAAGGTTACAATTACAATATGTTAATGCAATCATGATGCAGAATATTAAAAACTGCAACCCTTACAGCCAAAGAGGGTGCCTCTATTTGGATTGCAATTGACATGTGATCAGTTATGACACCAGCCATTAGAGGCCTTGAAAGTTTGGTTGAAAGATGAAAAAATAGGATTTTTGTACTCACTGTAAAATCCTTTTCTCTGTTTTCATTAAATGACACATTCATTTCTTCATTCAATGAAAGGGTTATATCGCCACCTGTGGGAGTAGGACGCTAGGCACAAAACACAAAAGCACAGCCCTGGGGAGACCCCTGCTGGTGGCTAAATGCCCCACTAGCTAGAGGCAGCTCAGGTGGGAAACCAAACAGAACAAGAAAGGAGTATCCACACACACACACACACACCCAAAACCGCATCTGCAACATCATCAACTTTATAAAACCTTTTGTCTGGTCCTTAAAAGAGAGAGATTCCTCCACTGAAATCACTGTCACCTTATTCAAATGGGACACAGGGAGGTCCACAACTGGGGAAGATGTCCACTTCTTCAGAAAACTCTCCTTGAAGGAATAGAGAACAGAAAAGAGCTTGGGTAGGACAAAGGACTTAAGAGTTTCACGCACAGACTTAATCAGCGCAGAAACCAATTATTTTTCTTGCAAAAATAATGAATACCTATCATCACTGCCAGACTGGCCAGGCAACACAGAGTCTGCTAAAACCGCAGCTAAAGGAATGCCATCCTCCTCCCCAGAAGACTTAGAAGTGAAGGGGACAGAGGCGGATGCTTCTTACCCTAAATACGTGTGTAACGAACCCCTCCAGCATCGAAGTAAGCACCTCCATAGGAACACATGGGCCCAAAGTCCCAGAAACCCCCAGGGTGGCACTGGAGGTTGGCAAGAAGGGAAAATAGATCCAGCCAAATAATCAACAATGGCCCCCCACACACATTGCAGCCCGAGGCCGCACCTGACCCCGCAGAGTTCACAGCACTAGGACATCCACTCCCTCCATCACAGACATGCCCACACAGGCCACTGAGGACCACCAAGCCACCCACCAGCTGGACAGAGCCCCCCAACAGCTTACCCCCCCATGGTGCACCTATGCAGAGCTGCAGCCTCCCACGTGTCTTACTCCCACTTCCTGGTGTGGAAGATAGGGAGATGCACCACTGACACTGGTGCACAGGCCAGTGTAGAACCCCAGCCCCAGCACAGCCAGCCAGCTAACAGTATCCCCACACGGCTCCTCCCACTGGCCTCTGTACTGAAGCGGGAAGTGGAGAAACCACTCCTGCATTGTAAAGGCAAAATGAACATAGGTTATGCATGTTAAACAGAGTGCCAAGTCCCCACACTAAAGGGAGGTAGGGGGCAGGAACAACATGAGCCTAAAGAGCCAGGGGGGAGAGGGGGGATCAGGACAGAGCAGCCCTGAACAAAGCAGAAGAACCCACAGAAAGGCGGGGGCCCCTGTGTGAGCACAGAAACCAGGGGAGGGCAGAGGCACACAGTCTACTCCCACATACTCCAGAGGGGAGAAAGAGACCCACTTACCTGACCAGGCCAATTGGCATGGTGCCATTTCCCATCACAGAATGCCTCCCACCACGGCGGAGGGGCCTGGAAGCCTAGGGGGGGACAAGGATCTAGGGTATCCATCCGTCACCCAGCTCAGCTATTGATTGAAGAAAAAAAACAAAAAACCAGAACAAAGATCCCAACAAGGAGCTAGGTCCATACTCCTAGACCCTAGGCAAAACAATGAGCTGCCTCTAGCTAGTGGGGGATTAAGCCACAAGCAAGGACCACGACCAAGTGGCTGTTTAGAGTGTGTGGATACTTAACTCTTGTTCTGTTTGGTTTCCCATCCCTTGGTACTCACTGCTTTGGGATGTCCATTCCGTTGAATGAAGAAATGGCTGTGTCCTTCATTGAATGGAAGAGAAAATAGGAATTTTTACTCACTACAAAATCCTTTTCTCTGTGTTCATTGAAAGACACCCCTCCCCTCTGGAAGTTGTCTGTCTGTCTTGTTTTCTACTGCTTGGGGATTAACTGAGCTTATCTATTTTACAGCTTGTTCCTGGGTCCACATACACTTCACTGCTAACCAGTTGCATGTGTATTTTGGCAGGGAACAACTCCTATTTTTTGTTGGCTGAAAATTATTAAAGTAACCACAATGTAATATTCCTAGGGAACGTGCATCAGTGCAGAAGTTTATTTTTTCCTTTGGGAAGGAATTACATTTACAGGCAGTGGATTATTGGAGATAGGGACAAAGCATTGTCACCCCGCCACAAAGTGCTCAAACAAGGACTTTTATATGAGTATCGCCTGCTGTATGAGATTTTTGTTGTTGGGTTTACATTGTACATCTAATTTAACACACTATGTTTAAGTTCTTTGAATTGCAGTGCTGGGACACATTATCTTTATTTGCCCTGTCTGTGTACACCCAAAAATCCTTTTAAGGACCAATATGCATCTGCAACATCTAATTGATAGCTAGTTTTCAACGCTCAACACACGAGCTACATATTCTACTAAATACGGTATTTTCTCTTTATCTATGTATTTAGTTTTAAATTGTAACTTGATTAGAGTGCACCAGACAGTTATTACTGACAGTCCATTCAAGAGCTTATTTTTTTGCAAAAAAAAAATCAGTGTAAGAACAGAACAACAGAACATAAGTGCACCTCACATTACACCACTCACATTCACTGTACCCACCCCATAGATAAGATATATGTTAGGCATACACTGGTAAGGCTTATCATCCCTAATTAAAACAGTCCTGCTGCTGGCCAACATTGCTGTATCATCTGTGGTAATTTCATTTTTTTAGAAACCATTAATGCCTTTAATTAATTAAGTGTTAATTAAAAAAGTCAGCAGAACAAGATGTAAATTATGTAACTATTTATAAACCATTCACAAAACAGTGAGGTATTCACTATCAGCCCAAACACACTTAAGCCTTACAGAATGAGCTGCATAAACAGATAACATACCTTTATTATTTCCTTTTCCCAAACAAAAAAAGGTGTTTCTAACACTGGCATCCATATCTATCTTCTTTGGACCAGAAGTTCCATATGGTTTAAGTAGAAAATCTTTGGGCCTAGCCCAGCATTTCACTTTCCTCACCAAAGCTCAGGTTTCTATCCTTTTATATCTTGTTTAAAAGACTGTTGGCCTCTCACTCCTTTCAAAAAGTTATAATCTGTGTCACAGATCAGCAGCAAAGCTCATCTGCTATTTAGGCTCTTCTAGCATGTGGTGTCTCCTTCTTTGCTACACCATTCTTGGTCCAGGCCTGGGAGATATAGACGTCACCAGAACTCACCAGCTGGTTTATACAGCACCTACAAGATGAGTCCCAACCTG